CTATCTTCAACAAAAATATTCAAACATCAAAGCTACATGGTCTTACTCTTGTTTCATTGTATTTAAGTGGCCTTGCTATGGCCCTTCCTCCCCCACTTAGGGTGAATGTCCCAGATTTTGACACAAGTCTTGAATTTAGCAACTTCATGGACATATGTTTCATTTCTCTATCCCTCACATACATGTTCGAGTATTAGGGAGATTTAAGTCACAATGGTATTAACCTCATAAGTCCTTTGCTCTTATTTAGCCACACGGGCTTGGGATTCCAATTCCTCATACCAATATCCTTTAGGAGTGTAACAAAACTTCATACACTTATGGGGTTCTTATAACATTCGTAGCATAAGGGTCTTCTCATTATGGGTTCAATTGACTCTCATTTCATAACTTCTTGTCTCCTAGGAGAGACTTGCACTCTCATCATCAATCTCCTGGTCATGTCTCTCATATATCATGTGCTTATATAACCATTTTTCTTTCACACCTTAGGATCATTCACATACTTCTCACACTACCCACATGTGCTATTCAAGCTTATATAGCACTTATCAATTCAATGTTTCTTTGGAGGTTACAATCATTTTTAACACTTTCTCGAATAAAGTATGCTTCTGGTACTATGTACGTACCTCATATATTTGTACCATTCGTTCAACATAACACATATGCCAACTCCTTAATATTCAGGCCTTTGCCCACTGGTCATTCTGTATGACAACATTACTTGAAATAGATGAAAGAGCGTCTAAACTTATCTTGAATCTCAACGCACGAGTTATAAGACAATCTTATAGTAAAGCTTTATCGCACGATCTGGAGTGTTGAAGAAGGGTAACATTCCTAAATGTCCATGTAGCCTCCAACTTATAGATGTGGTCGACAACACACCAATAAGAAGGACTCTACTAGACACGGCTCCGAGACATCCTAGGACACTTTAAAACCTTAGGCTCTGATACCAAGTTTGTCACGTCCCAAAACCAATGGGCGCGACAGACACTCGACCGGGTAGCCCCAGTCAAGAGGACCTAGGTGCCTTTCCTATCCCACATGTTACCCCGCATTTTCATTATCCGATAACCAAGTGAAATAGCCATTTATGATTTAAACACATTCTTACGAGATTTACATAATATACATAGTTACTTAGCGTGGTTTACAAGTTACATTGCCCAAATACAAAATACATAAGTACATAACCCACATTTACTGTCTACGGAGCCTCTAGGGATACAAAAGAGTGTTACAATACTTGCCGGTAACAAGGCTCCGGCTATACCTTATGCAAATACCAAAATAAGATTTCCGGGAGGAAAAGCGGCATGAGCCACATAAGGCCCCGAGAGGAAAAAGGGGCTCACCAATACAGCTGACGAAAAGTGAAGGAGTGCTACTGTTGGTGGACTGGAGTACCTGCTATAAAATCACCTACAATCATAACACGAATGTAGCGCCCCCGGAAAAAGGGACATCAGTACATTTGAATTGTACTGGTATGTATGAACAAACTTTAACCCAAGTAAAATCAAGAAATACACATGTAACAAACAGTAATAGAATCAACAATCCAATGCACATGAAAGGAACAACCAAAGCCAAACAAGTTACACAATCTCTCCTTTTCCCCTTTCAACATTATTTCATCACATCAATGGTTTCACAACTTTCACATATTTTCATTTCAATAGTGATTTCGATCACTTTTCCACTCTTATTACCTAGGCCACCCTTATTACCTCGGCCACCCTTATCACCACAACCCACACCTTATAACTTCGTGTTGAGGCGCGCAACCCGATCCCACCGGACAATCAAATTTCACACGACAACAACAATAATTCACAAAGAATTTTCATAACATCAATACCATTTCCATCATATGCAACAGCCCATATACAATTTGAGTCACAACGATAATTGCTCGCGACAAGTCACGTATGATATTACCATAGTTGTTTCAATTGCATCAATTACGATTTCTTTCCANACCGCGCCGCATGATAATTTGGTCATAACTTTTTGTAGGAGTGTCCGAATGACGAACAGTTTGAAGCGTTGGAAACTAGACTCAAAGACCTTTTATTTGATAGGTTGTGCATCACACAAATCCTTGTATAAATGATTATCCAAAGTGAGGTCTTGTGCGCACTCATTTGCAACTTTTGTCTCTTATGAAATTTTCCAACTTGGCTTAGACTTAGGTCTCTCCTTAGACACCAATTCACTTCTACTATGACTTATACACTTATTAACATATCCAATTGATATCCATAATCTCCTTAATCCTCATTTTCACGCAAGATAAAATATTTGGCCTACCTTGGCACCACCAAATCTTAAATTACTAAGCAAAATTTTCTGGGGCTTTACAGGAACTTAAAATAACTGGGCGAATTTGGTCTTCGCGTTCGCGATAGGTTCATCGCGTTCACGATGAGTTAGGCCAGAGAGACCTTCGCATTCGCGTAAGTGGGCTCGTGATCGCGGAGCACTAACTCCTTGAGCCCTCGCGTCCGCGTCCAGGCAGTCACGTTCGGGTAGGTATAATACCCCTCCCCCTGCCCAGGCTCATAAGCCATCGCATTCGCGTGTGCTGGGTCGCGTTCGCGAAGGGTATCGCCCCTTAGCCTCGCGTTCGCGTCACCAGCTTTGCGTTCGCGAAGAAGAAATTTAGCACCTGGGAGATTTGCCTTACGAGTTCGCGAGTGTGCCCACGCGAACACAAAGAGAAAAATCCCTCGGCACTGAACATCAAAAACCTGCAACTTTTATGAGTTTAAAAACCTTCCGAAACACACGCGACTCGAGGCTCCAAACCAAACATACGTACTAACTCAAAAACATCATATGAACTTATCCGTGCGATCAAATCGCCAAATTAACCCCTTAAACCACAAATTAAACCTCAAAATCAATGAAATATTTCAAAACTTCTTAAAACATCAAATTTTGCATTTAAGGTCCGAATCACGTCAAACGGATTTCGTTTCTTACCAAACTTCACATAATTATCTTAAATCACATATAAGACATGTACTGGGCGCCGGAATTAAAATACGAGCCCGATACCAACATGTTCTAATCAAAATTCATTTTCAAATCCTTTAAACAATTTCGGAAAATAATTTTCTTTAAAAATTCATTTCTCGGGCTTGGAACCTCGGAATTCGATTCCGGGTATACGCCCAAGTCCCATATTTTCTTACGGAACTTCCGGGACCGTCAAATCACGGGTCTGGGTCCGTTTATCCAAAACGTTGACCGAAGTCAAATTAATTTATTTTATAGTCAAAATTTATCATTTTTCACAGTTTTTCATATATAAGCTTTCCGGCTACGCGCTCGGACTGGCATGCAAATCGAGGTGATGCTAAAAGAGATTTTAAAGCCTCGGAATGCAGAATTCGTTTTAAACACAAGTGATGACCTTCTTGGGTCATCACACCAAGGAAGCAACAAAGGAAATATTTTTGAACAAATCTATGATCTTACCAGTTCCTTCGATGTTTGTCAATGATGTATTATGGGCAGACATCCTAGGAACTGAACTAGTTAGATCTGTTGTGGGTTGTAACTTAAACACTATCGTGCATAACATTACAACTATGGGGGTTCTCTGATACTCCAGCAATGCCCCTAATGTAGTTTATTTTGTTAACTAGCATATAAATACTATATCCCTTTTAACCAAAAAAAAAATTACCCTTGAGCTAGTTTTGGGTTGAATTTGGTGTCATGTTTATATACTCTTAAGTATGGTATTAGAGTTAGACCCATCAATTATCGTTTTACCTAATATTGGATTCCCATATTATCTTCTCCATGCTCTAATTGTCGGGCCTAGGCGTACGGGGGAGGGGTTATTCATTAGTCACACATTGGTTGGGTGAGAGACAATTGCCTCTTTATATGATCTTCGACAATCATCACATTTTGATCTAACCAGTGCCGGCTCCAATGTTATATGTAGTAAGGCATTTGTCGTAGGCCCCCAAATTTGGGGAGCCCCATTTTTTAAAAATAATAGGTTCATAGGTATTTAAAAAATAATATTAATACTTTCAATACAAAAGTAGAGTTTTTAATATGTTAAAAAAAACTTTTTAGATATATAAATAAAGTAATAATTTGACTTGGCTTAAAAATAGGTAAATAAATAATTTTTCTAAGGTTTCAATTTTCTACTTCTTACTTCATCAAAAATTTTACTCTCTCATCCTTAATTTATCCAGGTCAATCTTTCTTTTTCTCAATCTCTTTATATTTCAGAAACCCATACATATTTTCTGTCTTTCTCTTTTATATTTTTACTCACCTTGTTTCTCTAAGATTTCACTATTCACCTTCTTTCTCCAATATTTCATGAGTTTAAGTGTTCAACAATACTTTTAAGCTTCCAATAGTTCTATACTTCTATTTCTCTATAAAATCCTATCTAAGATAAAAAAATATCTCAAGAAAAATTAAATGAATTGGCTATATTATCAATTGAAAAGGAATTATAACAGAAAATTGATTGTAAAAAAGATTATTAACAACTTTATATCTCAAAAATTTAGAAGAATATACTTTAAATAAAAATATTTCTTATAACTTTCTTTTAAAAATTTAGGCCTCATATTAAGCTTCGCATATGGTTGAGCCGCCCCTGAAGCTAACTTGGGATTGAGTTGGCCAATGTTCATTTTCATTAGCATGTTATATTTTATGCAACGGATATTCCCGAAGGGACATTTCATTTCAATACTAATGATCTGATTTTATAATCAGTCAAATTTATATCATAAATGTTTAAAATCATAAGTTCCAACAGTTATTTTAAACTCTACGAATTTACTGTGCGTATGACTCATTAAAAGGGAAACACTACCTTGGTGAAAAAATTTCATTCTCACGATCCCATCATCTATCCCATCACCCCTTAATGGTAATTAATCTTCTTTGACTTCTTCCGATTCAGTCTATTTAGTCTTGAATCGTCCATTTCTTAGTGGAATAGTAAACTTCACTTGGTCTATAGATAGTATCCCCTCCTTGGCTCCTCTCAACTTAACTGCCCCAGCTATCTCCGCTCTCTCCACCTCTTCACGTTTTAAGAATTGCCATCTCAAAACCTCTTCTCTCTCTCATCACTTCCTAACGCTATCCATTAACCCATGCCTTTACTGGAGAAAATGGATATGAATTTATCCAAGATAGAGGAAGCTACGCAGCATTTCAAAAACCTTGATCCTACTCCAACGCAGAACGACGTCGTTACCCCGGTTGATGAGGATTACACACCAGCAAAAGAAGATATTATTTCCGACGAAAATGGTAATGAAAATGGAAAGTCCAATGATTCTGTTTCTATAGACGTTTCAAAAGGTCATGTGACAGTGATTTCAAATCCCGTTAATACTCTAACAGAAAATATTTTGAATTCCGCTAATCACGCAGCGCACGGAGGACCGCAAGACATAAATTCAGCTGTCTCTTACGACGAAAACGATTCAGTTAAAGAAAACGGCAACGTATTAAGTGTAATCCAGCCACATAACTTGCTGCCGCAGCCGGAGGCACCACCTGGAATAGCGGTTATCGTCTCTCCACGTGACCTGAATCGTTCTAAGTCCATGCCGGAGAACTTCGACATGCCGGCGATCGGCAAATTCTTCCGCGAGAAGAGCAACAGCTTATCCTCGGCAATCACGAAGCGGTTGTCGTCGATGAGGGAATCCCTCGACGACGAGAAAGTACCGAAATCGGAATCGCCCGTGACGGAGTTCAATCTCTCCGGACTAAAAGTGATCGTGAACTTAAAACCTCCGGCAGAACAACAACAACAACAAGGGAAGACGAAGCTGTTAGGAAGAGTGAGTTTCTTCTCGAGATCCAATTGCAGGGACTGCACCGCCGTAAGGTCGTTTCTGCGCAAGGAAAATCTCAACTACGTGGAAATTAACGTCGACGTGTATCGTGAGAGAGAAAAGGAATTAATCGAAAGGACCGGAAGTGCAACGGTGCCGCAGATATTTCTGAACGAGAAGTTGTTAGGTGGATTGGTGGCGTTGAATTCGCTACGGAATAGCGGGATGTTGGAGAAGAAGTTGGAGGACATGTTGGCCGGAAAATGCCCGGAGGATGCACCGGCGCCACCGGTTTACGGGTTCGACGATCATGAGGAAGAGGAGCGGAACGACGAGATGGTAGAGATAGTGAGAATATTGAGGCAAAGGCTTCCAATACAGGACAGAATCATGAGGTTGAAATTAGTAAAGAACTGCTTCTCCGGTGGCGAGCTTGTGGAGGTTCTGATCCACCACTTGGACTGCGGCAGAAGAAAGGTACGCTCCTTTCAAACCATTTCCATTTTCTATTTTACTTTACTTTGAATTTGTCTTAATTTTCTTATATTCTATAACCTGTGGTACATTTTGTTTCTCGATTTGATTAAACTTTCATTACTGTTTCAAATATTACTCTTTCACCATTTTATATGAAGAAAATTAACTGGTAATGTCATGAATGTTTAGATTTTATTTTGGAAAGGAATTAACTAAATCAAATTCTATTTAACATTAAAATGTGATAATTCCAATTCTAATTTGCCCATGACATGTAGAGTAATAATTTTAAATACACGATCAATTTTTGGTCCGTTTACGATTTAAGCTTCGGGGGCAACTTAAATAATAACGACAGTGGCAGCTGAATGACGGTTGAACTTCTATTCTTTTTTTTCGGGGTTGGGGTGGGGGTGGGGTAAATCGTTTGGTGCTACTAGGGGTAATGATTGCAGGTTGGTGCTTACAATGCATTTACCGGATTTAGGACTTGAATATACGAATAACCTCATGCTTAATATTGTATGTGCTATGTTAACATTAATTCTACATAATGTTCAACTAATTCGTTTGATCTTATTTAATTTATGCATGCTTTTGAAATGTGGATTTTTTAATTGATTAGATTTATTCCAAGAAGGATTGCGGAACTAATTTGGCATAAAGTATAAATTGGATGAATAACAAAATAATGAAAAGGAACAAGAAAAACGTTCATAAAATTAGGATTGAAGAAATGAGGGGAACCTATCCTGTGCAGATATTAATGTAAATTTATATCCACCTTAAAAGTACTGTTTCTCAAAAAGAATAGTAACATGATTCGGGATAAGGTCAACTCATCTAATTTCTATGTAGATTGGGACTTTAATTTCTTACTTTTTAGAATAATCTAAATTTTGGTAACTATATTAAAAGTAGTACAAATCACAATTTTTATAACTAAAAATAATAAAAAATAATTTTGAGAAATTATAGGCATAGACAAATAGTTTGCCTCCTCTGAATTGTTGTACTGCAGTAGCGCGGAACAATTTGACTCAAAGAATAATTAATACAACAAAGTGTCAATCAATTCGCGACAGATGAGTAATTTATTAAATAAATTAAATGTAAATGTGAATTTGATTTTTAGAAATTCCCTTATTTTCTCTTAAGAATCTCTTTCTTCTTTCAAAGAGTTCTATACTCCAATTCATATAACACCCAGTTTTTAAAAAAAATTTGAATACGATATATGTGTTTGAAGTGATTCACTTTCACTAATTTCATAAATAAATTAACCCTTATTTAAACTAAGACCATGTTAATTTAATACCATGTTTTTTTCATCAAGTCATAACAAGGAGTAGAATGAAATGAGTTCTAAAAAAAATGCAATGAGTTTAAAGCAGATAGGTCATAGTGATTTAACTCCTGAAGTTAAAGTAGTCTTTGCCGATACCGCTTTGATGACAGTCAAAATAATAAAAGTCAGGCGCGGTTTCTGCCGAAACACACGTCTACCTTGGGCTCACGTAGGACTTGAAAAAAGGTCCGTTATTCCGTGGTCCCGTCGTTGTCGTGCTGGCCTGGTAATGAATATACCCACACGCTTTTGAAATCAGTGCAATCAATTGACTTGGAATTTATTGTATTCAATCAATTGATGAAGTCATTAGCATGTTTCTGGGGTTAATTTGACAAGTTATTTGGAAAGTAGACACCTTAAGCGTTGCCATTTATTTGCCTCGTCATAATCCTAGATGCGTGATTTAGTCTTTTCCTTAATATACAACTTTTGTTTGGTATAAGAGCAAAGTGAGGACGATGTTAACATTAATATTGTAAAATATGTTCTTTTATTCACTTTCAATCTATTCACTCGGGGGCACTGTAGTACGTAAATGACGGATTCAATTGAACCCATAACTTTCGATGTGGAGTAAAAATTTATATGCAAAAATTCGTTAAAATTGTAAATTAGTAGATATGAACCCATAACTTTTAAACATATAATGGGTTTAATACTAAACCCTTAAAAGTTGAACCCATAAAATTTGCAGAAAAAGTCCAAAAATATCCCTAAACTATGGTATATAGCTCATTTTTGTCTTCCGTTAGTAAACTGGGCCAAAAATATCCTCTCTATTAGCACAACGGGCCACTAATGTCCTTCAACCTAACAGCCCTCCACACAAGCCATTTTAATCCTACATGGCATCCACGTAACTGTGACATGGCAGCCACATAAGCGGGTAACCTTCTAAGCCCGCTTCGAAACCCATTTCCAAAGAAAGATCTGGCAGTAACCCCACCTCCAAACTCCATTTCATAACAAAAACCCAATTTCTTCCTAGACCCAATTTCCCTTCAAAATTTTTGCTCCAAAGCAGCCGTCGAAACAGCTCGGCAACTTTGAAGCACCATTTTTCAGCCATGAAAACAACTTATCCCATTTTTCAGCCATGAAAATGCAACTTTGAACCACCATTTTCCTCACTTTAGCGCCTCCATTTTCACCGCCAAAGCAGCCCTTTTCTCTGTCCAAAAACGATCCCAAAATAGCCGTCGAAACAGCTGTGTTGCTGTTGAAAAAACCAGCCATGAAAGCCACCATTTTGTCCTCCAAAAAGCTACTCACCTCCAGCCCGTTTCAGCCATGAATTTGTGCACTTTCAGCTCTAAAAACTCCGGTGAAAACGTAGCAAACTTCAGTCACAAAACATCACCAAATTCAGCAGCGAAACAGGCACGGAACACCCCCAAAAACGTAGCAAAACAAGCTGCGAAATCAGCACCATTAAAGCACCAAAAACACCACAAAATGACCCGAAATGGAAGCTAAAAAATGTTGTTCAACCTCATTCCAGAACTACCAGAAACCAACCGTAAAACCTCACTTAAAAGTTAAAACCACCCAAAAACGCGAAGAAAATAACATCCCTTTCTCGCGCAAAAACACCAGCTCCAAAGGTTGAGTTTCAGGCCATCATCGGAAATGAGTTTCGGAGCAGGTTTAGAAGGCTGCCCGCTTATGTGGCTGTCATGTCATAGCTACATGGATGCCATGTAGGATTAAAATGGCTTGTGTGGAGGGCTGTTAGGTTGAAGGACATTAGTAGCTCATTGTGCTAAAGGGAAGGATATTTTTGGCCCAGTTTACTAACGGAGGACAAAAGTGAGCTATATACCATAGTTTAGGGATATTTTTGGACCTTTTCCGTAAAATTTGAATCCTGGTTTCGCCTCGAGATGTCCGAGTAGATAATGTTGTTCGTCCTTTCCTTTTCTTTCCTTTTTTCGCTAGAAAAAGTGACAAACTTTCCGTTCCTTTCAATTTTCTTTCCTTGTTTCGGAACATAGGATAACAAAAAAGAGTTTTAAGTTTCGAAAACATGGGGTACGTAATACTATAGTCTCAAACTTTTTAGTTCTCAGCAGCTTAAATGAATGGACACTCTTGGTTGCCAGAAAACTTCCGTTAAAATATTTTCGGCAAGCATGGCTTAACGATTAATAACCAAGATAGAATAAATAAATCATACTTCATAGGAAATTAGTGTTCAAGTCCAATTTGGTGCAAAAAATTGTTAGGTTATTTTTTCTCATTTGTCTAGGCGAGGAGGTGGTGTACAATCTTGTACCTCCCAAGAGTATAGCCGAAAGGTACTGAATCATAGAAGACTACAATTTCAAATCCTATTAGAGGTATAAAGAAAATATTAGGTTATGTGTCTGTCCTCTAACCGAATTAGCGCATCTTCCTTTCTCTTTGTTGAATAGTGGAGCTCCACTTCAGTGAAGCAAGACTGAATCCAGAAAGTTCGATCCATGTACTCTGTTCTGTACACTTTTATTCCCATTTAACTATGCCTAGAGGTAGCATGGTGGTATAGTCGGTGTGTGCAAGTTAGTCCATAATTCGATCATTATTAAAAAATTCAATGGACATTTTTCTTATGACATTTCTTTTTACTCACTTGTTTTCTGCTTCTAGTTCAATCATCTCTCCACGATCTTCAGTAGAGTAACTTTCTGTTAGGTCGGTAGTTTAATCGAGGTGTGCGCAAGTTAGTTTGAGTACTATCAATATTTTATAAAGATGAATGGACATTTTTGACATTTCTTTGTGCTCACTTATTTTCTGCTTCAAGTTCAATCGTCCCTCCATGATCTTCCAGTAGATTAACTTTCTGGTGAACAATTGGATTAGTCTGGATTTCTGATTGTTAGCGGAACTGATTCTAGAGTTTTAGCATCTTTGTGTGCACAACACTAATCCAGCCAGCATGAGTAAAAAAAAAAAAGTGGCACAATCATTTTGTGGTTCAAATTTAATTTTTTTTTTAAACATAAAAGTTACTTTAGGTTCATTGATAGCATAGTGCTTAAGTATAGCAATGTGGAGACTAGGAAGCATAATGCCAAATGAAATCTAAAAGCTTATAACGTGAGTGATGGAGAAGTGTGCATTCAACACTACCAGTGTTTTACAATACTTTATCAACTGACAGAAAGCCATTGATTTTTAAGAATCACTAAGATTTGAAATTGCATGCGCCTATATTTTGGAGTAATAACTATTTGATATCTAACGTAGGCTGTGGAAATTGGGAAGAAACTGTCGAGAAGGCATTTTATTCACCACGTCTTCGGGTAAGAACTTTACAAGGACTTTAGGACTGGTGTCATCAGTGTAGATTTGATTCTATTGGCAACACTTCTTTATACTATGTTTAACTATTCTCAGAGAAAATGAATTTGAAGATGGAAGTCACTTCTATAGATTCCTTGAACATGAGCCTTTCATTCCCAAAAGCTATAATTTTCGAGGATCCACAAATGACAATGAACCCAAGGACGCTGCTGTGCTAGGCCAAAGGCTTGGCAAAGTAATGTCGGCCTTACTTGAGTCTTATGCCTTTGATGATCGGCATCATCTTGATTATGTAGGCATCAGCAACAGCGAAGAATTTCGGAGGTAACTGCTTTTTATTGGTTTTTTGGACACTGTTAAGTGACTTGTGTTATTTGACTTGTGGGTTCAATTTAATAATCTCCATCTTAGATTTCCTTGATAAGAGTTACCCTAGCAACTTCAGCCTGCATCTCATTTTGCCATTTTGGTTTTACTCTTTTCTATCTGCAAACATGTAGCAGATGATGCATACTTGTTTGTTGTTCTTTTCTTTTCTTCTTCATAATCCTAGAAAAAATTTCAGCTGGGTTGCCAAATATTGCTTTTTCCCTTCATATAATCCTTGGGTTGAATATATAGGACATCTTTACTCTTGTTGTCCACTATTTTGACAAAAGGACTTTTGAGCTTCCCATTGAATTTTTCCAATGCCCGTCTCCTTCAAGTCCTTTGCTTCACTTCTCTATATAGTACTCTGTTATGCAGTTCCTAAACAAAGATTTTGGGAAACTATTTTAAAGGAGGAAGTGGTTTTTGTGATAAATAAACGCTACTTCGACGAAGAGTTGATTGTTTGTAGCATCATTCCCTATAGGAAATCAAAATGCTTCTTTAAAAGTGCATATTTTTTCTAATCAATATTTTCGAAGTGAGCAAAGTTCCCTTTTGATGTTCATTTCTTAAGATTGAGGCTTTCAGAAGAAGCACCAAAAGCTGTCTTCCCTATTTCCTACTCAAGATTGTGAATCTCCAAAATGAATCTCTCAAGTTCTGTGCCAAGCACGCTATAATGAGGATAAATGTTTTTAGATGAATCAATGATTATAAATAAATATACAGTAGGGGCTGAAGCTCTTCTATGTCTTACTCCAATATGTTTAGCTTCAAATGTATTCGCAGAAGAAGTTAGGGTTGTAAGACATGATCAGAAAGTGTTCTGGTCACTTCAGTAATGAAGGATATGGGGTTTTCGTGGCTAAATAACGTTTAGAGGGACGATCACTCTAAGACTTCGTATACCTTCGTATATGTGGAAAGTGATTTTCTTTAATTCATTGAGATATAGATGACTTATTAATGACGAACGGATGCTACATGCTATCCACTATTACACTACAGGATAATGTGCCCAAAATAACAGCTTAGAGGCATCTCCACTTGATCTTGCCATTTGTTTCCAGTTAGGGGCCATATTTATGACACTTGTAATATGCCTACGTGGAGATGACCTTCTAGTCGTTCTTCTGAAAACTTCTCATATTAATTAACTAACCAAATTTAGTAGAATATCAGAGAAAGGCTGATCCCAGCAGCCATATTTCAACTTGCAACTTTAGCGCATTCTAGAAACAGGTTAACTTCAATGCTCCATATGAATATCTTTATACAAAATATGGAATTGCAGAACGTTTTGCTCACTTGGCTTGAGAAAGAGCAGACAGAAACCTTGCAGTTTCTGCGACTAGCCAGGCTCTTATAGGGAATATATTACTGCCAAGTGTAATATAACTGACATTAGCTGCAGCAGATAGCTAAAGAGATCTGAGTACAGTATCAGTAAAACTCAAGCAAACAGGTCGCAATGGATGCGAAAGGGGTTCATTCCAGAAAGAGGCAGAAGAACAATTTCTAGTCGCACCCATTCTACCAGAGATACACCTATGTGCCTTAGCTTCAAATTGTTTCCTCCCACACCATGGGCAATCAGATGGAACTTCGGCCTCCCAGAGATCTTTTGTCCCAGTAGTATAGTGCAGATTCATTTCATCTACAGTATGTCTATCTTGCTATCATGGGCTGAAAGATGTCTCAAAATGGATTGCAACATTCCATATCTTGAAAATTATCATGCCCAAGCCTTCCATTCACTAGTAGCTTCCCATTAAACCTTGGATTTGTTCTGCGTCATGTCTAGTCCAGACACAAAAAACATATAAAAATTCTCTCAAGCTGGTGCACCACCCTCTTTAAGAGGATTGAAAGCTTTCCCAGGAGTTTGTATGGTATGTAATGGTAGCTGTTGATTGCACCTGCCAGCTTAAGTAAGCTACGTATATGCTCACCTTGCTTTATTTTAAAAATATCCTGATAAAGGACCAGTGCACCTAATGGAAACTTGCAGTCACTAAAGATTCTTGATCTACTTTGACAAATAAAAATGAAATCCCAAAGCATCATGTGGCCCTATGCTGCAAATTGGAACTTTGAACTCATAGTATGTAAGGCCCTTCTTGATACTTAATTTTAGCGCACATCCACAACTCCTCCATCCCTAGGATAGTTCCATAATGAATATTGTGGCAGAAGAATGTTAGCAGCAAGACCCCATATTCTTTGAAAAGCATGCTGGTTTGAAGTCAGTGGAGGTGAAATCATCTGCTGATAGAACATATTAGTCTCAAACCTTGTCATAAGTGAGTTTATCCATTTGATATATTAGCCAGGTTCGCATCATGCTGACATCAACTCATAATTCATAGTCAACTTCCTGTGGATAATAGCTTGCAGAATATCTTTTGAGAACTCATCCCTTAAGAGCCAGAAAGCTAGCGCTTCTCCATATATCCAAGAAAAGCTAATCCATTCCTTTTCTTTAGTAGGTTTCAAAGTCTATTTCTTAGTGAACACAAACCAAGCTCCTTTTATATTAAGTCATAAGATGGTGCTTTTATATGATATCTGATCTTTCTGTTGCCTTTTAAATGCAGATATATAAATTTGGTTCAGGATCTCCACAGGGTGAACATCCTAACACTTACAGCAGATGAGAAGCTAGCCTTCTTTCTGAACTTGCATAATGCGATGGCCATTCATGCTGTGATCAGGGTTGGTCATCCTGGGGGCATGATTGATAGGAGAGCGTTTTTCTCTGAGTTCCAGTACATAGTAGGTGGTTTTTCCTATTCCCTATCAGGGCTAAAAGATGGCATACTTAGAAGCAACCGAAGGGCTCCTTTTTCGCTGATGAGACCCTTCCCTAGTGGAGACGAGCGTCTGGAGGTGAATGACCCCTCCCCTGTTTATTATTTTTCTCTAAGAACTGTTGCAACTGCTTCAGTCACTCGAGGAGTGATAGACACCGTGGAGTAAATTTCAGCATTTTGCTCAATACTATATGTTCTGTTATTTTCTTTTTCTGAAAGTAAGAAACTAAGAATGGAGCTCACACCATTTTATGAAAGACTGCCAACTATAACTTGAATTCAGCATTATCTTTCATATTTTGTATTAATATATTTTCAATTTGCAGATGGCTTTTTCAAAAGTTAATCCGTTAATCCATTTTGGACTGTGCAATGCAACAAGATCAAGTCCAGCAGTAAAATTCTTCGCACCTCAAAGTGTGGAGTCTGAACTAAGATATGCTGCAAGAGAGTATTTCCAGAGGGATGATGGAATGCAAGTGGATTTGGCCAAAAGAACTGTCTACCTTAACCGAATGATCAAGTGGTAAAGTTCTTAACTACAGAATCCTCTAATTGGCCAGATAAAAATGGGGGGAGGGTCTGTCTGGTTCTCTGATGGCCATTATTCCCCCTTACTTTTGATAGTTTTCTTTTCAACCCCAAGATTTATCGAAAAATACATGACCTTTTAAATTTTGGTACTTTGATTTTCCAATATACAGTACTACAGTATATCTTTTCTTTTGGCCACGCTGCATGTTAGTCTTGCATCTATTACCTTTGTAACTTGATATTTTGCTTGGCAAACTAATTCAAAAGTCTTATGTACCACATAATTCCTTTTGCAGGTACAGTGCTGATTTTGGACAGGAAAAGGAAATTCTAAAGTGGATTACAGGTTATCTAGATGCAACTAAAGCAGGTCTTTTGACACATCTTATGGGTGATGGTGGCCCTGTTAATGTTGTTTATCAGAGTTTTGATTGGTCTCTAAATGCTTGACCAAACTGGTTGTTGCTATAGGGAGTTCGAGGGAGCACTTTATTTCTTTTTATTATCAACCCCACTTCTTTGTTTTAGTATTAATCTCTCAATATCTAGCAAAAATAGGGTATTGTTGATTGTCCCTCTTCGTAGGATCATAGTTTAAAATTTGTGTATAGCAGAAACTTGTTAATGGATTGAGAGGTTTGGACGGAGCGAAAAAGAGGACCTGTCTTAGTTCTCTCTTGTCGTCTCATCTAATTGTTCAAATTTTATGAAGAAATTTCCTTCGCAAATACGACGACGACGACCCAGTGAAATCCCACTAATGGGGTCTGGGGAGGGTAGAGTGTACGCAGACCTTACCCCTACCCCGAAGGAGTAGAGAGGCTGTTTCCGAAAGACCCTCGGCTCAAGAAGATAAAAAGACAAAATGAGACAATATCAGTAACACCATAGAAATAATATGAAATAATATGAAAAATAGGAACAACATGAAATCAAGAAAAAAGATACAAAGCAAAAGCGAAATAGTTTCCCTACCAAACTAGTCTCACAAAGTCATCACATAAGACAAGACTCGACTACCTCCTAACCTACAACCCTAATACTTGATCTCCACATATTCCTATCAAGTGCCATGTCCTTGGAAGTTTGAAGTCTCGCCATATCCTGCCTAATCACCTCCCCCCAATACTTTTTAGGCCGTCATCTACCTCTTCTCGTACCCTCCACAACTAGCGGTTCACACCTCCTTACCGGAGCATCAGTGCTTCTCCTCTGTACATGCCCGAACCATCTGAGCCTCGCTTCCCGCATCTTGTCATCAATGGGAGTCACGCACACCTTCTCCCGAATATCATCATTCCTAATCTTATCCATCTCAACATCCTCATTTCTGCTACCTTCATCTTCTGGGTATGTGAGTTCTTAACCGGCCAACACTCGGCCCCATACATCATGGTCGATCTAACCACCGCTTTATAGAACTTACCTTTGAGTATCAGTGGTACTCTCTTGTCACACAATACTCTAGATGCTAACCTCCATTTCATCCATCCTACCCTAAAACGGTGTGTGACATCCTCGTCGATCTCCCCTCCCCCCGGATAACCGACCCAAGGTACTTGAAGTTGCCTCTACTCGGGATGACCTGTGATTCAAGCCTCACATCGACGCCCACTTCTCCATGTTCAGCGCTGAACTTACACTCCAGGTATTCCATCTTCGTCCTGCTAAGCTTGAAACCCTTAGATTCAAGAGCCTGTCTCCAAACCTCTAGCCTCTTGTTCATACCTGCTCGCGACTCATCAATTAGAACTATGTCATCGGCGAACGGCATGCACCATGGCACTTACCCTTGAATGTGGTGTGTTAACGCGTCCATCACCAGGGCGAATAAGAACGGACTGAGTGCATAACCTTTGTGTAACCCCATAACAACTAGAAAAGCCTCAGAGTCGCCTCCTACTGTCCTATCCCGAGTCTTTGCCCCATCATACATGTCCTTAATCGCCATAATGTAGGGAACCGACATGCCTTTTGCCTCCAAGCTTCTCCAGAGAACTTCTCCAGGAACCTTGTCATACGCTTTCTCTAGGTCAATAAATACCATGTACAGGTCTTTCTTCCTATCTCTGTACTATACTATTCAACAAACCTCCTAGCAAGGTGTATAGCTTCTGTAGTAGAATGACTCGACATGAACCCAAACTGGTTGTCGAACCTCAACCTCGCTTCAACCACCCTCTCCCACATCAGTAATTTGATGCCCCTATAATTGTTACAACTCTGAATATCACCCTTGTTCTTATACAATGGGACCACCATATTCCACCTCCACTCATCTCATCTTCGCCTTAAAAATAACATTCAACAACCTAGTCAACCACTCCAAACCTGCTTTCTCCACGCACTTCCAAAATTCTACTGGAATCTCGTCGGGCCCGGTCACTCTGCCCCTACTCATCTTACTCATAGCTCTCACGACCTCCTCAACCTTGATGCGCCTGCAGTACCCAGAGTCACTGTGACTCTCGGAATGCTCTAATTCACCTAGCATAATATCCTGATCCCCTACTTCATTAAGAAGTTTTTGAAAGTAAGTCTGTCATCTCCTCTTAATCTGGGAATCTTCCATCAATACTCTACCATCGTCGTCCTTGATGCATCTCACTTGGTCTAAATCTCGAGCTTTCCTCTCTTTTTCTCTCTCATCTTGACCAGCCTAAATAACTTCTTCTCCCCGCCTTTTCCCCTAGTTCCTCGTACATACGACTATAAACCGCAGTCTTAGCCTTCGTGACCGCCAGCTTCACTTCCTTCCTAGCTACCTTATACCTCTCCATGCCCGCTCGCCTCTCCTCCTCACCTATGTTCCCCACTAACGTCCGGTACGCCTCCTTATTCGCTTCCACTTTACCTTGTACTACTTCATTCCACCACCAGTCTCCTTTGTGCCTGCCAGAGACGCCTGTCGAGATCCCTAACACCTCTCTCGCAGCCTTCCTTATACAGTCTGTTGTCGTTGACCACATAGTGCTCACGTCACCGTTGCTCCTCCAAGCTCCCATAGCCAACAACCGCCCCCTCCAACTCTTGGGCTTTATCCTTAGTTAAGGCCCCCTACCTGATTCTCGGTCTTCCTCGAGCTGACATTTTTCTCCTCTTCACCATAATACTAACGTCCATCACCAAGAGCCTATGTCGCGTCACGAGTATCTCACCTGGAATTACCTTGCAATCCTTGCACAATCCTCTGTCATGCCTCCTGAGGAGGAGATAGTCAATCTGAGTCTTCGCCGCCGTATTTTGAAAAGTAACCAAATGCTCCTCCCTCTTTGGAAAGCTAGAGTTTTCAATCACTAACCCAAAAACCTTAGTGAAGTCCAGTAACGAGGTTCCTCCTCCGTTCCTCTCCCCAAAACCGAAGCCTCAATGCACTCCGTCATACCCAACTGCGGTCGACCCAATATGACCATTGGAATCCCCCTTATGAATAACTTCTCAGCAGGTGGTACCTGACGCATAATCTTATCTAACCCCTCCCAAAAGCGTCGTTTAACTTCCTCATTTAGGCCCGCATATGGCACAAGCGCTAACGACATTTAGGGTGCACTGTCCAACCACCAACTTAATAATCATCAATCTATCATTCACTCATGTAACCTCAACCACAGACTCTCTAAGTTCCCTATCCACCAAAATACCCACTCCATTCTTACCCNACAGCCACTATACCTCTGGCGGACTAAGGGACTCACTAACACACACAACAGACCAAAGTAGAAGAAGACAAGATGCCATCACAGGCACACTAATACGGTGAATAAACTAATAAGAACTAAGACGACAACAATTTAACTAACACAATAGAGGAAAACAGGAAAATGGGAGGTACCAACTTCCATGTGTAGAACCTGGAAATTGTCCTGATATACCCGACGGTGTTGCGGCCACCTAACTCGTTCACGTCCAACTCCTGTCGTTCCTTCGCAAATGATGAAAGGAATTGGAATTAGTTTTTTTATTGCTGAACTAATTGGAATAGTTCAGTATGAGTGTATGACTAAAGAAAATTCCACTCCACAAGCTGAACTATTGATGAAAAGTATGAGTGTAATAGTGTATGACTGCCCCACTCCACAAGCTAATTCTTTATTCATCATTAATAATTATACTCATACCATGGAATTTCATTTGAATAGGAAACCAAAGAAAAAATAGATACATATAGTTGCATTGACAAATATATGCAAAAATCAGAGTCAATTCCCAAAATGTTCATGTAAGTCACAGAAATAAATTACTAAATTACCTTTTAAAAATTTTTTGACAATAAAGTCATCAAACTAATGCCCATATTTCCAACAAAATATAACAAGTCGGAAAGCCTAATTCTCTCACCGAAAATTTGCAGTTGGCTCCCATTTAATCTTGATTGCTATTTAAAACATTGTCACACATCCTTTTTGCGCGCTTACCCCGAAGGATAAATGTTTGAGGGAGTTTTTCCAATTTAAGTGACAATATTCGAAATGAGATTATTTATTTAATTTAGAGTCGCCACTTGGGAAAGGTTTGGATTTTGGTGTCCCAAGTCACCGGTTTATCTTGAATCCCAATTCGAGGAAAATATTCGACTTTCCAAATGAAAGTCTGCGAACCAGAAATTCTAAGTAAGGAATTCTGTTGACCCGAGGGAAAGTGTTAGGCACCCCCGAATCCCGTAGTTCTAGCACGGTCGCTTAAATTATTGTAATGGTTAAATATCTGATTTTTATACATGTTATGACTTGTGTGCTTTTATTAAGTTTAAACCGCTTTTATTATTATTTTTTAATAGAATTGCAACGTCGTAAAAATGCATCTCGAACCACGTCACAATCAATGAACCTGTGGTTGTTAATACGTTCCGACTCCGTTGAGATTTGGATTTGGGTCACATAAATGCGCACCCGAATTTAAGCATGTGATTTAATTAAAATCGCGTCTAAAGAGTCTAACGCGTTATTATCTTTGGGGAAAGCCATGAAGTTCGCTAAATGGCCACTCCCGAAATCTAAGTAATTATTAACATCTATTGAGGGCCCCGCAGTTTGTGCGTCTTTGTTTGGCGAGGCTCGCTTCATTTATTTTAAGGATATCCTAAAGTGACTACATTTCTATTAAATTCGTTTCTAAAATAAAAGAGAAAAAATCCTAATTAGTTACATGCTTAAAAAAAAGGCGTAACATATTAAATGCTAGATTAAGACAAATGTTAACGGAAAGGAATATTACTAAAATTGAAATTATAAATAAACTACGGAATCGACAAATAATATGTTCAAAAGAAACTAATTATCCTATAACTAGATTAAACTCGCATTGTTAGATGACTTGAACCGTTAGAATTAATTATTTACGACTATTTGAAACTAGAATCAATCTTAATTACTAATGCATATTCGAAAGTTTATTAAATTCAAACGTTAACTCGTCTTGTTTGAACTCAAATCATGCCATAATGTCTAATTCACGAAATTAATTTAAATTCATGCTTTAACTAAATTTAGCTACATGTTCACGATTAACCTACTGTTGACAATATTAAAACCTTCAAGCTAGTGAACTAACCAGTTTTACCAAGCCGATTCACTAAAGACCAACTTATGTTATTTTCCTCTTACTCCAATTGTTAAACAGTTTGACGGTAATGAGCATGCTTAAACATATACTATCTAATACCCAAACTAAAAC